GGCAATTGTTAGCAGTTTTTATATAAATGATTTTCTCAACTAAATCATCCATTCTTGTTTGTTACCCCTCTTCTTTATAATTTCTCTTCTCTTCGGTTAGTTGAAATATCCAACAAAACTAAAAAACAACGTTTTCTAGCACAATGCATTTCAAAAAAAGAAACCACAATAATTACATTGGAGGGTACGGTCGTCATTTTTTTGCCCTTTATTTTCGTTCTAGACTGTTGACTTCCCACTTACATTTCTTCACGTTTATTTTTGCTGTTTTTAGGGTTGTCTCAGAAAGTATAAGTAAATCTTTCTTTATTTTGGCCACCAAACTGTGTTTTTAAACAGCAGATAGGAAATTTTGAAATAACATCTTAGAGGCATTGAAATGATATGTCGATAGGACAACAACAGATAGGTGACAAGGAAATAAAATATTAAATGTGAAACCCTTTACTGTTTTTTTCAGCAATGCTCTCCCAATCTTTATCTTATGAAAGAGAAATAACCGGAACTGGACAGTGGGTGGAAGGCCAATATGTCGAGACTAGAGGAAATTGTATCTATAGTTTGTGGAAAGTGTGCAAAGTGTTTATGCTGAGATATTTTGCAAAATAACTGCTTATTCTGTTGAAAGATTTCTTTGCTGTAATGGTTATTTTACCTAACGGGCAACGAAATAAATTTAATTCAATTTTTGGTGCATGATTATCTTAGCTAATATTTTTCCGTTATTGTTGCACATCTGTTTACAGAAATGTCGTTTATTCCTCCCTAACTAATAATTTCAATTTACTCAAATCATCTGCCTGAACGTGTTTTTACAGCAACAGTTTTGTTACGTCATATTGGGACTGCTACAAATTACTGCCCAGACCTCTTTATCTGAAATTTATGTAAGCCATACAGGTGGCACAGTTGAAAGAATTTTTGTTTTTTTGTTCAGTGTTTTCTTAGGCTTTGTTTCCTTAAAACTTCACCTAACAAGCCTGAACAGAGAATACCTGCTTATCCCCCTATTTATCGAGTTTAAAGGCATTCTTGACGTCTTGGCTTTTGATTCTCATTAATCTGCTGTAACAAAACCGCTAAAATTTCCGTCTCTTGTGTAATACTTTAATAGGAAGCTTTTTTATTTGTCTTTTGAATTGTACCCTAAGCGACCGTCAATGCTACTTTAAGTTTAATATCTGTACAAAATTTGTTCAGTTCTTAGGAATAAGAAGATCAAACTTCTAGTTTGAAATAAATCACGTTTTATTTTTGAAATGCCATCAATAGCTGCGCTCTCGCCTTATGGATTTAAAGAAGTCGAAAGCGGTAGCGTTGAAAGGGACGTAGAAGGAAGTTCAGGGAGTGAATCAGTGCATCGGTATCGCTGTAACAATAACTATAAGCTCTTATGTAGGGCAATTTTAGAAAACCAGGTTAGTTTTTTTGACTACTTTAATCAGATCGCTACGCTAAATTTCATTCTTATTTGCTCAAACGTGTTAATTTCTGTAAAAATTAACAACGAATCTTGTAAACAAAAGAGATTTGACTTACAGACCGAATTTACTTTTTTACGAGGCAGTGCTAAGACTGGAACCTAGTTCTATTGATAAAATCCTTTACCAGAGAGGTTTGCGCACCAGATAACTGAATAAAAGCACTTTTTCAGCCAACATATGCACAATATATGAAATTATTAGTTTTGTTCGTGATCTCAGCTGTTCATTATGCATATATGAGCTCGTTCTTACATGCGTTTGCTGCCATTGCCGACTACGCAGATGCAGTTACCCCGAGGATGAAAATGGACCAAGTCTTTTCGCTTCGGCACCAGATTGAAATTTTAACGGATGTTAGTTGATTCATTTTTCACCATAACTTCAGAGCTTCATGATTACGGTGTAAGTTTCTTGCTCATTTGAAGGGCGTCTTTTTCGCTCAATTATTACTGACGTTAAAAGGAAGTAGAGGAGTGAGGATTCGAAAATACGGAGATCTACACCGTTGACAACGAGTGTAACTACTACTTTACAGCAAAGACTCTCTAAATTGAATCGTTTTTTTCCGCACACAGTTGTTTTGGCAGAGTTTTGAATAAACATTCTTGTGATTAGTGAAAACCAGCAATTCTGGTGATGAATCTTTCAAAATTAGCCACTGTACACTATAGATTGAAATAAACAAGTCTTTCTACAGTCAACACCTTTTTTTTCGTTAAAATCACCAATTATGAACTGTGTGGTTTCAGTACAAAAAGAATATGTGGTTAACTGTTGGAAGTATGTGTGTCTCGTTATCAACTTCTTGTTTCTTTCTGCTTTTGCCATCGTCATCGCAACATTCCATCTATGTGGCACTGGTATATTTTCATATTCTGATTTTAATTTTTCAAATAATGGACTTCAAGAATGTCGAATAATGCTCTGTTTACTTCAGATGCGGATTGTGGACTTGATAGCATTTTCTACACTCCCAGCTTTGTTTGTTGCCAGGTCAATACTGGTAAAAGCACTGAATGAACGTTTACCAGAGGTTCTACAAAAAATAGGACATCATTTACTCCCACCTCAACTCCAGGATTCTCCACCTTGTACAATTGTGGAACGTGAAAATGTAAGTTTTAGCCGACTAGTTTTTCCGGCAGTCATTTTATTTTTTGAACTGAATAGTAGATTTGCAGGTAGCCCTATGTTCAGAGCTAATTTTGAACTCGATATTTCCATTGTGCCTCATCAAGTATTTAATCATCTTGGCTGTGCTCTCTATCGCCTATTTATTCATTGCTTACGTAATTGACTGGTCTGTTAAAAAGTACTTCTTGAAAACCAAATCAGTTCGTGGTCACCCGATCTATACAGCCATGGTCGTCAGTCCTTGAACTCATACTTAAGTTCTGCGAACGTAACAACTCTTATTTCTGTAATATAATAGTACTGCTGCCGAGTGGCTCTACCCCAAGTACGTCGTTGGAAAATTACTGGATGAAGCGGCACCTGTGATTTTATTCTGACTTCTTTTCGTTCCATTTCCCCGTGAAAGCTTTAAGCACAAGTTTTGAAGCTTGTTGGAGCTTCAAGTGATCTCACATATCTTATCCGTCATTCTTTTTCCCCTCCTTAATTGTTTGTTTGTAATTTTCGGTTGAACATTTTGTACAATTCCCTTCCACTGCTTTTGCCACTCCTTTCACGTCCAAGTTCGTCTCTCCCAAACGGTCTTATTCATCTCTGCCCGGTTTGTTATTGACTTCTAAAAACTCACCATCAGAGTGTTATCTATGTTTCTTATAATCGGTGGGTAGCCCACCATAATGTTTGACGCAACTAAAAAAAGGGTTGTGTCATCCATATAATGTACTATATGTGTTTATGTATCTTACTCTGTGAGTTTTTGCGAGAGCTGTTTTGTTTTTGTTTTACCTCTTCTAAAAAAGTTGGCAAGTTTTTCAGTTACTTTTCAATCCCGTGGTAAGTTTCTTACTGAACGCAGGAATTCCTGTTTGTAGTCCAAGCACAGCTCAACAACTGCAAGACTGCTCATCCATTTAAGCGACTCCCTCGCACTCACTGCACTAGTCTAAAACGTCGTCTGTCTTTCCAAGAACAGAAAACCGAGCAAGTTACCGCAACCGCTTCTGTACATTTTCTTCAAATCACGCTTTTGTAGACCGTATGTTTTCTGTTCTCTGTTCCAAGCTTTATTTTTAAACTGTGGATACATAAAACGTGTTATTTTTACTCGCTCATAACGCTATTTTGTTAACGCAGACCGTTGGCGCATCACGAACATACGTCGATTACTTTACCCTTATCTCCACATGAAAAACTCTTCGTCTGACACTCCTACTCCTGTCCACTTATTCGTTGTAAGAGCTTTGCGTCAGTTGACTGCACTAACTGCTTTTAATATGAAGCTCCTTCAAAAATTGTTGACTCGTTGGCGGAACAAAGAAATAAACGTATCACACAAGGGCATACAGATGCCAAAGAACCCCGAGCTCACATCTTTCATTACCCTTCGAGTAAGTTAGAAGGTGAATCAACATTGCCCATTATCTGCTCTACGGCAACAATGCTTGGGGAACTACGCGTGGAGAACGGACAATAAAGGAGAACAATTTTCTGAAGTTTATAGTCCTGACTTAATGCGTAGTTGGTTAAATGACCTCAAAAAAAAAAAAAAATCACTGCTAAAAACACGATAAGTGGCTACAAAAACCACAAATCACGAGAAAGACTTGTTGGCGAAACAAATAAACATATCAATCTAACAAGAAATTTTAGCTAAACAGTTGCAGGAAATGAGCAGGAGATAAGGAATTTCTGAACGAAATCAGGTAGTGGTTAAAACTTTTCACTTTTATAAATTAGTAACAAAGTAGACAAAAGCGGAAAAAAGTAAGTAATCCAAGAAAAACAAACCGACAAGTTACAGAGAGATGACCTTCCTGAGTTCTGGAACTTCTTTGTCCATGCAGCACAGCAAACGAAAATGAAGAGCAAAGAAGATCGGCTTAGAGCAAACGCAACAACAATAAATTAGCTGCGGTGATAAACTAAAATATTAAGTACACCTGTCTTAAATCCGGTGATGTTGAAAGGCAAGGCAGTAAAACAATTCAACCGGGAGATTAACAAAGAGTATGCCGTATTCAGTAAACCAAATGAAATAAAACAAAGTTTTGCTCGCAATAAAACGGTTGAATAACCCAGATAAAACAGCAGCTATACCAACGAGAGGCGTTAAATTATGACTGCTACAGCGTCCATAAAAACATAACACAGAAGCAGAACACTCTGGCTACTTGACAGGTTGAAAATCATTCCATCATTTTGAGGGTGGCGGCATCAACAGCCTTGACGGTGATCCCTTCTTCATAATTCAGGAAGGGGATCATCACTTCTTGGCAATATAAAAGGCGGTTGTCCGCGGCTATACTTTGAAAGAACCTTCCGTGGTTCCTCTAGCAGCGACCAGGGTTTATACGACCGTCGCTTTGCGCCTAAAATATCTTCATCCTCTGGCTCCCAATCGAACGAGGGCAGGGGTTCTAATTCAGCAACTACAACCTCACCATCTTCTTTCCGTTCTTTCTAAAATAATTTAGTTGCTGACCACGGCAGAGGTTAAACTGATTTAAAAAACCATTTAAAAACATTTAAAAATATTTCCCACTTTTTGAGTAAGTCTAAGAAAATGAAATTCACTATTTACTACCAAAGGAACAAACATTCAACCAAAACTTGCCTGTTTATTGCTCTTGATGTTATTTGGAAACACGCAAGTTGTATTGAAGTCGTTAATATATATACGACCCCGTTCCTCAGCCGAAAGCCCTGGAGATTTGAAAATATCAGACTCTTTCCCTTCGTCATCTGATGTCTCGGGAGATCGTTCATAAACATTTATACGTCTCGGAGACTTTTCAACAAAAACATCCTTTTTTTGACGTCTATCACCCTGGAAAAGTGGTGCAGTAATCGTAGTAACAATATTAATTGAAAGATTAAAGGAAACTCCAACTTTGCACCATTATTAACTTGTATACGGTAATACCGAAAAACCGTGATGAAATTTTGATAGGTAAGTGTCCAGAGCCTGGTAAATGAAACGGTACTGAAGATCCGACTGAATTATCCCCGCTCTTTGGTCCCTTAACATCAAAACGGTGCGGAATATATTTACATAGCACAGAGACGGATCAACTTCCTTCTGACCAACTGTAATAAATTAGAAAGGTTAAAACGCCTACTTTTCACTAGTTAATGATGACCTGGTGACGGTTCAAAATTTATGGCACGTATTAAGAGTGAAAATCGGCCAAGCTACAAACCTATTCTAGCGATGTGATCAGTCATAATATCGATGACCAAAAAGACTCCACCACGCCCAATTCCTGCGCTGAAATGAGAGAATAGTAATTGAAACAAGCTCTAGTTACATCCTTAAAAGTCTTCAGCAATTATTAAAGAAAAACGTTTTACTGTGGATAAAACATTGTATAACAATTACCTGCAATGCACGACCCACGGTCCCCAAGGCTCTCCTTGTCTGCATTCGAACTCACAGTTCCTGACCTCATTTCGAAAATTTATTAAATCTAGAGGGTTGTTTGGACACCCGTGATCAGGCCACGTCATATACTGGAACTGATATATGGTCCGACTGCATTCTGGAAAGCGTCAAAAAATACCATTTTATAGAAAATAACCACGTTCAGCAGGAAGAATATGGCTTGAAAACAATTAAAGAAACTCTGTGAAGTGAACAGTGAAAAAGTTCAATTGAACACAGAATTCCTACCAGCTTCCGTGTCTTTCATTTCAAAAGTCCTAAAAACAAAGTCTCTTTTCTGCTCCTCCTGAAAATTTAGAACAGTCACATTTCCTAGGAAAATCCATTTTTGGATAGCAGTAATCAAATAAGAACTAAAAAAGCTCAAAAGCACTTACGCCAAGATTCTTGACTGCGTATTTATTATTCCAACCAGTGTTAAAAGAATGTTCTGGACCAGGCCAATAACGACAACACTTATTCTAAAGGCAAAAAACGTTTGAAAAAAATATTCTTCTCTTAAACAAAATAACGGTAAAGTGAAATTTATGTACAACCTAACCTTATTTTTTTCAACCTCTTTAGTTATCATTACAATTATCCGTGAATTCTGCTGCCAAACCATTTCCCAAAAATCATCCACAGTATTTGGGAGACATCCCTGTGTGCAGATATACACCTTTTTCAAACCAAAGTACTCGGGGTAACGATTTGAGCACACCTTTAAGAGACAATGATAACGAAAAAACGTTTGCAGCGTCTTCTTTTACCATTTAAATCAAGAAACCTTAATGTAATTAGCATTAATGTAATCTGTGTGACCAGGCGGCGGATCACCTTCTAAATAAACCCGTGTTCGATCGTTTGCAACAATGTTTTTATAACGATTTTTGTTTATATTTTCTTCACTTTTACCAGCAAAACACCGAACCGATTCAAACTGCGATGGGTGACTTTGAAGCTTCTAAAACAAAACCATGTTTTCACAAACGAATTCCGTAACTCCAAGAGAATACAACTAAAATAATCAGATATATAAACCTCAAATTCATCAGAGAATCCCGATACAGCATTTCTGTAACTTTCAACAATCGCTAACTTAGCAACTACATTTCGAAAACGGTTTAAAGGAACCCATGTTGTATACACCGGCTAAAATGTATTCTAGTAGCAAACAAAAAAAACAAAATACTCGTTAAAATTCTGCAGTGTTCTTAAGAACAAAAACAACTTCTTAATTACAATGCCGCAAAAAACTCCTAAAAAAGTTACATCTTTCAATCGAACAGTCGGGTATTCAGTCCCTTCAATAACCATAGGTAGTGTTTTGTATCGGTACAGTAAAGGCCCCAAGCCAAGATACTTTATTTGTGAAGTAACATAAAAACAGCCTTGAGCATCCTTGTCCTGAAAGACACTTCCGCACTTTCAGTATCAAATAAAACCTCATGTTAAGAAGTCCGAAAAAGAGAAAAAAATCACAATAGTATGCGCCTACGTTTCAAAAAATTAAAAAGTGGAAACCAGTCTGCTTAAACACTGATTTTTTTTTGCACAGCAAATGTCACACAATAATTAAAAGGATGATTTAAAAAAATATGTCCATTCACAGAACAACTCTTACATCAAAAAATAACTTGATATGAGAGATTTTGTCGTCTGTAGAACGTACTGATATTACAAATGTGCCAGGAGATGAGAGGCTTTCTCTAACCAAATATGAACCAATTTTACCATCATGCCTCAAAATCTCCTCCGCTTCCGGCCCCGATATAGATGTATGAAATATTCTTTCATAACGAGCACAGGTTAAGTAAAAGCCAATTTTCTCATTCGGTGGAATTTCAAGTGGTCCTCTGCAACACGTCCAAAATTAAGAATTTAACTTAACCTCCAAAAAAACTTTATTTGAGCTCTACAGTGAACCAATTACTCGCAAAAAAAACCATAACTGTAAAAAAAAATAACCTGAAATATACAAAGTCACCATCCTTTTCTTTTAACTGCCTTGGATTTTTGATACAGTGATAAACTAACTCCAAAAGACTAGGAAAAACCTCTTTGCCATAAAATTTATATCCATTTTGTATCTTCAAGATTCTTGCATTCAAAGGTTTTCCTTCTTTATGCCTGCAAGCGCAAAATCACCATGAAAAAAAAGGAACAAAGAAGTCGTAATAAAATCCTGAAAGGTACAAAAGAACAAAATATACCTCTTCTATCTAAACAAAGCAATTGAAAAAAAGCCAAAATAGAAATTTTTAGCGGTACTTTGAAAAAACTTTAATAAGTAAACAAATATTACAGAATAGATAGCGTGTAATCTCCTGGTGTTGATTCACTAGGCCGAATGAAAAACTGCCCAACTTTGGCATAAGTTAGTAATATCCGTTCAGCCTCTACGCCGCTAATTGGATAAAAATAATGAGAAATCCTTCAAAGTACTCATTTAAACCAAATGGTGAAGTTAGAAGGATGAAAAGCAACTAATTAATAACTTAAAACTACTACCAATTTATGCAATACTAAAAAGCGGATACTCATAGCGATGTGTCAGTAATTTTAAATATTAAAGATGAGAGACTAAAAGATGTAATCTTAAAAAGATTTCTGGAGAAAATACAACAGCTGTCTCAGTGATACCTATGGTTAAATACTAATTTTTTTTCACTTAACATTATTTATTAAAACAGAGAGCTTTGAAGATTTTTTTCCTTAGAAGTTCAAACTTTTCAGTGACCTGTTAGATACAACAAAAAGCAATTTTAAACAAGTTCAAAAAATGACTTTTAAATTTCTAATAAAAAATTAAAGCTGAAAATTCTAAACAGCAAAGAAACACCACTCTCAACGCGTTACAAACAACAACCTCTAAGCTTACTTATTTGTAGAGCTACTTTCTTTTCTTCTTCATCATTTACTACTTTCTTATTGCCTTGTCTCTAAGACAGTATCCAACTGGAACAGCAAGTTCCCCACAATTTTCTCTCCTCCTTCTTCCACACTCCGCACTTATGTATAGACGAAATAAAATTCATATATTGTAGCGCCTACATCTAAACCTGATAATTTTAGGCCAGCACATCTAAATAACTTAAGAAAATTTTTCCCCTGACTAATCTTACACAGCCGAAACTTCCGTGTCAGAAACTCACCTCCCTCTGCTTCACTTCCAAAAAGTTACTTCAAGGATAAAAAATAAGACTCTTTGATACTGTCTAATACCGATGTTCATGTGACGTACATCGGGACCTGATTATAAGCCCTCTGACAGTACCCGAAACAAAAAGATGATGGAAGGAAAGAGGTAAGACACGAGAACCGCAAAAATACGACAAAGAGCACTAATTAAAAAAATTTACAAACCAGAGGAAAAAAAGTAATGTACGCAACTGTGTTGGAACAATCCATAAAATGCGAAACGACTTAAATGAAACAAGAATGCTGTCAGAGAAAACATAAGAATGATTAGAAAAGAGGGGCATATAAAATGATATTTAGATAGGATTTATACTCTAAACAAACCGTTTGTATTTACAAGAAGAGTAAAATCCGGCTCACCTGACTGTGTTCATCACTCATGAAAAAAAAATAATGAAGCACTCCGGCAATACCACAGGCACCATAGTGCTGCTAAAAAGCACAAACCACAGAAACGCATACGCTCGAATGAAACGTATTATAATTTACAATTAACGGAGAGAATAGCCCGAAATTTTCTCACCACTTTAAAACATTCAGCAAACGTAAACAACAAAAACGACAAGAACTATTTAAGACAACTCTACAATACAGTCAAAACACGAGTATTCAGAATGTATTTCGTACGCATATAAAATTAGAAAATAAGTTCCACACTTGATAGCACAACAAAGTAGATTCCTTCAACAACTAAAATACCCAGCATCTTCTACTATTAAGATATCTTAAATAGAAATGCAACGAATGAAACTGATGCTCCCATTCCGCGCACATACATTAAATCAAGGAACCAAACTCAATCGAGAATGCAGCTTACCGGAGAGACTTGAGAAAATAGCCGGTTACCACTGGCCTTTATCCAAGGTCTTGATGAGTGTCTACGTCAATCAGATCACAAAACAGAGTCACACAGTTTACCACAGCCATCTTAGAAGTAAGCGTCCCATAGCGAAAGGTGTTTCACGTACTGGCGAAACTCCAAATTTCCGCAACTGCGATGCATTTCCATCGCCTTTTTTTTTCAGCCGTCCTTAAAGCAAGATTTTTTTGCTGCGTCGGTTCGAATCATATGTGCCGCTTCTTTAAACCGTCGGTTGTTTCCATCGAATAGTGGAACGCAGTTTGGAAATAAATGGAGTTGTAAGTGAAGCGTGAAGTGAAACTGAATTTGGCTGGTGCTAGAAGATGCTGTGGTGCTCGAGGCTAAGGTTTAGGATCTAGGAAACTAGGATCTTTAAACACTTTATTAATATAACCGTAGGTTTTGGTCATTGCTGTAGTGGTACTTTAGATTTTAAAGCTTGGGTGTTCCTGAAGTAAAGAATGATTCTTTTGGTCTATCTTATGGTTTGTCTCCGAAAGTTTTTGCGTGGGTGCGCTTTTACCGAAAGTGTAGTTGAACGTTACAACTCGTAATTCCGTCCAACAAACTCTCTAAACTTTCCTTTGGAAACCTCAGATTTTCTACAGTTTTCGATCTCCTTAGGATTAACCACTTTATAACGACAACAATTTTATGCCTGCGACTGACTACAGCAAACAAGATTGGTAAGTCTGGCGATTCTGACCATAAGCGGAAGTATGTAGGCTTACTGTACCCTTTATTCCTTTGAATAACACTCAGCAGTAACGAGGCACGCTTGTGGGAACTTCCTTTTATCCTTTTAAGTCATAAATACAGGACCGTAATGACGCTCTCATTCTCTATTACAATCGACTATAGTCGGTAGACTTATGTGGGCTTTCTTCTGTCTCAAATAAGCCAATAGTAGACGCACTACCAATAATATTTGAAGAACAAGCGAAAAAGTTTGAAATAATAAATGAACAAGACAAAAAACAATCCTAAATCTTGAAACTTCAACAGAAAGCTGCCTAACAGGTATAATTCAGTAATCAATTTGAAACAAAAATAAAGGAACACTAGAAAGTGAAAGGAAGGTTACAAGAGAGAGCGGTGAACGATTTTGAACGCTGACACCATTTGGAACGTAAATTAGACTAGGTAAGACCTAAACGTCTTTTAATAGGGTTCTTAACCTCGGTTTGTTTACGTGTATCACCTCTTCAAAAAATTTCTTGCAGAAGGCGATCAGTGGCCTTGATCTTTGTAGCCACTGTTGCCGTTTTTGCGCATGTTCATGAAATTCGTTTTATGAGGACATAATATACCAGACTGCTATAATAATGCTCCAAGACAGGCCTCTGCAAGATATTGCACTCGAGCTAACTGGTCCAAGATTAATCGAGAAAGAGGTATAGCCAATTTAGAATATGGTTTAACTTTCCAGATTATTTAGGCATGATTAAGTGTTGGTTATAAGGTGGTGGAAAGAACTCATAGAGAGCGATATTTTGAGATGGATTTAAAACTACAACGGAAATAGAGCTACCTATCGGGTCACTGAGGAAAAAAAAGGAGATTAAAAGACTGTATTTTTTGGAAGAGGGACTATTTTAATACCAAGTGGTGCGTCGTACAAGATGTTAAACCAGCTACAGCGAACTGCTCATGAATTAGGCGTCTGTGTTAGGTGCATAATACCAAATCATAGGTTTGAGGAATGTGATGTTGTTAAAAGGTATTGTTGTTGACAAGAAAATTAGCAGTACCTTTTGTAACTGTTTTGGTAATTATCTAAATGTTGCTTGGTCGTGAACTGGAAATAGGAAATATGTTAGTGTTTTGAGTAACGAATTTTGAGATTGACAGTTTTTTCGTGGAAACTGTGGACGAAGCAGTTGGAAAGCGTTTTTGTGAATTCGGTTTTATGGCCATAATGTAACTGAGGCTTTGTGATTAAAAATAACCCTCTTTTGAAATGATGCCTGCGAACTTGGTTCACGTGTTGATAATAAAGATCTTATGTTATAGAGTTTTCAAATTACTTTCTTTGAAGTTTTTTGTTCTTTTTATGCGTTTTCAATATGCAGCAGAAATATCTGTTCTTTTTTTACCAGACTCGGTTTTCTTTACTAGTATATTTACTGTTAAGTATTATTCCCTGTTAAATTACTGTGACTTTCAGTTTCTTAATTAGCATGAGCTTTACGAGTACTAATAGAAGTCTCTTTAATATACAATTGCTCGTTGTGCTTGTATTAGCAAATTATTATAAAATATTAAAGATCAGTCTAGTTTGACATGTATTAGCAGAATTATTGTTTCATTTTCTTATTAGCAAGTAGTAATAAAATTTTTCTGGCTATTATCAAATTACTTTTAGTTTACGTTGTACCTCAAGTTTTGAGCAAATGCTAGCGAGTTTTTATCAGGTTTTTATTGGTAAGCTTTCTGTATTTCAAGATTTTAGTTATTTAAACCAAGGTTTTGGATATGCCAACATTTTTTTGTTATGCACTCTGCAAGTACTAACAAAATTTAGTACTTAATTCTTATCTTTTATTTTTTTTTAGTGTTAACAAGGCTTATTCTGTATTATTTTGCTTATAATTACTATTTTTTTTATGCGAATGAGGTGTATGCTCGCTGGTTTCAAATTAAAAGGCTTCAACTCGAGCAAAAGTGAAGAAGAGTAAGTAATTCAAAGCTAAAAGGTACAAGGCCGAGCAAGTTCTTTGAAAAATTGTCAAATAGACAAGAGGGTAATTAAATCAAGCAATTTTAATATTTCATTTATAATT